ATCACTATATAGACCTTATGGACAGTCCTGAAGAGGTCGCGAACCATAAGACAGTTCGTGTGCTTCAAGTTCTTCATGACAGAGATCTCGCGTCTCAAGTCTTCCTCCATTTTGCCCTCTTTTTCGGGGGTTTTCTTGGACTTGATTTTTATCACTTTAACGGCAAACACTTTATTGTCTTTCAGTGTCTTATACACCAGGGCCTGTCCTCCTGAGTCCACTTTCACGAACTGGTCGTAACCCCTGCGCTCCAACACTCTGTTCCGATGGGTCTGTCATTTGTGGTGATAATCGACCAGTTCTTCAGCGATTCCCTTCACTCTTATACAACTGTATAAGAGTATGTATAATATGTATGTATAATATGTATGTATAATATAACTATGAGTATTATAACTGTCACTCAAATTTATTTTCCCCTAAATTGTCGTTAATTTCAATTTTGGGCGGATTTTGAATTTAGTTGTCATTACTTTGAGTGCAAAGTATTGTTATAGCAATCAATTGTAGGTTAATTGAAATATCAATACAACAATTCACACATAACTGTAAATTCATTGGTTTTTAAATCTGGAATCAGATTCTGGACATAGAAATTGAATGATTAATACTAAATATTCCCTAAATATAGACTAAATAACAAGAGATATAATTGAATTGAAAACTCTAAACATTCATTTAAATGACTATTCATTGCAATGATTGACAGCAAGTGAGGTATACTGTAGTTTGGATTCATCATTAAAAACGAGTATTAAATACAGTACTCAAGAATAAGTCTACAAATTAAAGCACAGTATTAGTGAAAATGATTTCATTAAACGTTTATAAATTAAATCATAAATTTAATAATTGATATGAAACTAAATATTTGGTAAATTCATAATCGATTTATCAGTTTTTGAATAACTTTTTAAGACATTAAACAGAATTGTTTGAAGAATTTATTGCTTTAATAATCGTAAACATTATTATAAGTTATAACTTATAACCACTCGTAACTCTATTTTACAATCAGTTGTGTGTTTGAAATATAAATACATTTTATTATATAATTGTGTTTCAAATCATTCAAATCAATTAATCGCGGATTTCTAAACCTATGAAAATATTCAATAACCACTCGTAACTCTATTTTACAATCAGTTGTGTGTTTGAAATATAAATACATTTTATTATATAATTGTGTTTCAAATCATTCAAATCAATTAATCGCGGATTTCTAAACCTATGAAAATATTCACGTTTGAAAATCAGTCAAAAATGAGTCAAACAATAAATACATAACAGTTTTTTCGAGTTAACAAATCGTATGTGGAATGGAAATGAAATTACAAAGCATTTAAATAATAATCAACTCATTTGAATAATTATTATTTGTTAATAAATAATATCTTTTAAAAGGGGAACAATAATAAAATAAATATAAATACAATTTATACGTCAATTCAGAATTGGGATTAAAAGAGTGAGAAATAAATGCATTTTTCAATTTAGTTCTCACAATAACGTCCGTAAAGAGAGAAATAGAAGTGATTTTTCTGTACAATAATATATGTAATATACAAACAATTAATAATTAGCATTCATAACAACAAATCGTTTTATACAATGACTTAGTTTTATATATAATAAACAATAATATATTTAATTTTTTATGAGTTTTGAGTCCGAAAATAGCGGATTGGGATGCAATTAATTAGAGATAGTGTCGGACACACAGGTTAGCTAACGGTGCGATTGTCTGACAAAATCGTCGGGTATAGTCATGTCCTCACTGTTCTCGAGTTCAGTCAAGTGTCCGTCTTTTAGGAACAGATGGTATTGATATAGAGTTAGTGACGACAAGTGTCTGATCGTCTTTGGTATCGACTCGTTGTCGGCCAACGCTTCCAACACTTCCAGTCCTTTGTCATCACGAAGAAGTGCACAATACTTTTGGCCTTAATTTACGCAATAAATAAAATGTAATTTCAATACAAAGACAATGTTTATAGCATTCAATAGATGCCAATCATTACGCATAAGGGAAGGGCTATAAAAAGCAGCACTTACTGTAAACTCGCGTCAGATTAGCCAACGCCCAGACCGCCCAATACTGGGCTTCCGACGGGATGCTTGACTTCAATAGACGAAGAATTGGTTCAAAAGATCTACAAAAATAATATTCAAAAATTTATTCAAATGAGTTATAGAAACGTTAAAATGTCAAACTCAACGGCACCTGTAGTTTATATTTCGCTTAGAATTGATTTTCCAGCGCCCGATGGCCGCACCCATTCTGTCCAACATGTGGTCGCGTTTGCAATCAAAGGGCAGTATTTGTCGCCATTTATACTCCCCATCAGATGCTGTCGTAAAAACAAAATGCAAAAAAAACTGTTAATTATTCACAACAAAAACACAAATCAATGAATTGTTAGCCAAACCAATATGCGATAGAATGCCCGCAGCGTTATAACTGACTTCAATGCCGTCCGACTCGCTGTCCAAAAGCTCCACAAACCTGTCGATGTAGTCGGCGTTCATGAGTCGGGGCCGCAGTTTCTCGCACTCCGCGACGTTTCCTAACAAACCCATCATATTTCGTAACAATTCTATACAACACATTAAACAAAACATTAGAAAATTGTATAAAATATCTGTAGGAACAATACAAACACATACCGGCGCTATTGGGAAACGAGTGCATACACGACACGAAGTAATCCATTCCGTTCTGATTCAGAAACCGCTCGCAATTCACTGGAGTCTCGTCTTAATTGATACAAATCACCAGCAAAACAAACAATTACTCTCATTATACAGTCAACCACCCGGTGCTGGCGGTGGACATACCGGTCACGTTCCACATCGTGCTCCACGCCGTCTCCATTACTTCGTCGCATATATTCCTCTGAAGTCTCGAGTCTATTAATGACAGCATTTTGTCGATCGCACCCAAATCGCCAACAATTGTCTTTTGGTCGCCGTCCACCTGACAGGCCAGGGTGTTCAACAAGTATATACCTGTGCGGGACAGTGAGGGCGTACATATGAGAAGTCAATACTATAAGAAAATGCATTAAAAACGGACCCAATCTTTGTATGAAGTCGTCGTCATCGTTGATGACTATATGTAACAGAATCTCAACTAAACGCGAGTATTCAAAGAGCTAAGTGTTTGGACACAAAACCACAATTCAAACCATGGATTAGATTAACATTTTCGATATACAATGAGAGAGAGACTACTGACCACATCACTGGGAATTTTGAAGTGTATGAGCGTTAAGCTGCCGTTCCTTAACATCTATAACCAAAATAAAAATTTTGTTATTCAATAGTTATCCATAAACTCAGATTAAGACTTTAAAATTAGACTTACAGTCGTGTCATATCTGTGTTCATACATAGCGTCCAAAAGTCGACTAATGATGAGTCGTTTGACTTTAATATTAAACTTATGCTTCGCTTCGTCTGATTTGACGATATAGAAGAGCGAAGCGGAGGCCGCGATTTGGATCTGCTTCTCGTGCAGGTGTCGGGCCATTGATACCAATACTATATCCAGGGCTCGGTTCACGTTATGGAAGTTTGTCTAACAATTACCACAACATGTCATCAATTCATTTGCAAAAGTATGTCTACAAATCAAACCAATACCTCAAACCGGAAACAGTGGAACAGGTCGTTGAGCGTACGCCTCAAGAACTCCACTCTATCGATGTAAGCCTCGCATCCCGTCAGTATCTGTTCCTCAGTGGCGTCGCCCGACACCTGACGTAATGATTAATACAAATTCATAATAATTAGCGATAAAAACAGTGGAGTTCTCATAGAAAACACTTACCTTAAGGGCGGGTATTGTGCGCCGATAGGCGGCTTCGTTAGCCGTATTATAAAGTCCTAAGTATTCTAAGGGTTTGTCACTTCGCGAAACTAATCCAGGTATATATTCACAGCCTATAAAACATACAAAAAACATGTAAACCTCTACTCGTATCGAGAGTTACAGGTGCCGTAACATACGAGGACCGGCCAGATTAGTGCCCGATATGTCGAGTCGTGTCAGGTCTGGCAGTGAGTTCACTATAAGCGTCAACTGTTTGTTCGGGTGTTTATATCCGTGTCCGTAGCGATCGTTTGTCGATGAGATGTCGAGACAACTGTTCACACAAATCGTATTTCCAATAAAACACTAAACATTACCCAAAATAAATCAAAACAATTACCGCAAAGTCGTAATCTTAATGATGTTATTGATGGCCAGATGTAGTTTTGGACAGTTGTATAGAATCAATGTCTTCAGGGCTTGTAATTGATTTAGTGGTGAGCCGTCATCTATAGAGCAGCCATTACTGCCATACATTTCAGACAAAAATCAACACAATTTAGACATAACTGTAAATCGCAACAAAATCCACAAAACAATACCTCAAATCCAAGTGTTGTAGAGTTGTCCGCATTTGTGAATTAATCAAATACTTGAGATAAGGGGCGGACGTGTCGATGGAGTTCCACTCGTGTATCACTAGTTTGCGGATCGACAGCAACGGGTTAATGAGATGACTGTGCGATGAAAACTCCTGTCAACGAGTGAACAACGAGTCGATTAACAAACAAAACAATCAAAATGCATGACTCGATGGCTAACCTCATCGTCGAGGCCGTCCTCCTCTATATAGTCGGGCAGTATATGAGTGGAGCGGCCGATGACCAGCGACTGGAGGGGCGACGACTGCCACGTTCTCATCTCCAACGTCTTCATGCGGTTGTCGCCCATATTCTTCGTGAACGACTCGAACGACTTATAGCTGTCGCCTTCGTGGACACAAATGGGCGACTTATTGTTGGCGTCGACCGTCGCGCACCTGTAGGCGCCGTCATAGCTGTAGTCAATAGCCATGGCCTCGCCCTCGTAGTCGAACCCTCGGATGCCATTCAACTCCCGAATCTTCTTGGCCTTGAAGTCGGCGAAGTCCGGGTCGTCGAACACTCCCATCGCTTGTGTCAGTCCGTAATCATCGGTAATGAGTCCCACGTTCTCATCGACCGTACAGTTGTCTCTCGTGGTGGTGATCACGCCGTTGGCGTACGTCTTGGTGTAGAGCACCCGACTTTCGTGGACGGGCCCCTCCTCGACCACCCTTACCGTGCGCTGCAGTTTGCGCGGGTCAGTGATCCGGGTCAGTATGGTGTTGATGTGCTGCAAGGCAGTGGTGGTCAGATGGGAACAGTTGGATATGTCTAAGTGGGTGACAGTCTTCGAGTGCTCCTCCAGGAAGGACTCGAGTGTCTCGTCGGTGACGGACAGGTCAGCGAACTTCGCGGAACAGATGCGGCTATTGTTGGACCGGAATTGCGACAAAAACTTCGTAAACGATTCGCTCATGAGTTCGCTGTTCAGGTGTGTCTCGCGGTATACCTATTGGCCATCGGTTTGCGCATCGAAACCATTAAATTAGATTATCATTTGTGTCATAATTCGTACCATGAATACAGTCAACATTATCTCAAGTAAAATACATTAATAGTGAGGGTTAGGGGTCAGTAGTGTTGACAATACCGGTGCCACTGATTGTTTACTTTAAATTGACTGATAATTTAATTGAAAACCTAAACATTAGATAATTAGCTCAAGACTTAATCGAATAGAGTCTTCAGAGGTGTGAGTACACCATCAGCAGCACCGGTATGTCTGAGTACAAAGGGTGAGGTGAAAGGTCACAGTCTAATGGGTAGAGTATTGCGTAATGCGTGACACATAGACAATGGTATGAATTGGTGGACACATAGACACCACAAAACACAAGTGATAACTGACTTGAATGAGTAGATCACAAATTTCTTGTGGTAGGGAAACGCCTCGTAAGTCAATGCCCTCTTTGACCACAAACTGGACACAATTGTGGAGTAAAGAGTCGGGACTGTTGTCCGCCAACTGCGAGCCCATAGTCTTGTGGTGATTGGGACTCATTGTCTGATAATGTCCTCCGAGTGTCTGAAACGGTGGTCAATGTCTCGAGTGGTGGCAACGGATCCGTAAAATATGAGTCAAAACAGGAGTGAAAATGAAATGCGAAACCAATTAACGACTGAATGAACGGAAAAATGTAATCATTTTTGTGATTCAAAAAACAAGTAAACAGTTTTGGGCGACAATCGCGTGAATGAAGTCTACAATTGAAATACAATTACAATTAAAAGCAGACATTAATTGTCCGTAAAATGTGGCGAATGTCTGGACGTATAGCCCATTGAATGAGTGGTCGATTGGTTGCAGTGTTTGACAGTCAGTGCTGTAATGGCTTTGAGATAAACACTCAAAACAGACAACACTTTAGCTGTGAATGCGTTCAACACATAGACAGCGACGGAGAGACACCACTCACAGCTGACACACAGTGGTAGGCGAGACACCGCTCGTAGACAACGTTACCAACGATTGCCACTTACTTACTGTAGCTATGGTTTTGATTGAAATTTTAAAGTTAAAAAGTTAGTCTACCTGTTCTAATGTGAACATTATATTTGATATACCGGGTATTTTAGTTTTAACTAGCGGTGTAAGCTATTGAAAAATCAATTAAAAATTTTAAGTAATTAAATTTTAACTTTGTTTGTGAATAAAAGTAATTGAGAATAAGTTTGTATGACACGGGGGCAGACAGGGGCTAATAATTATTGTATATTCTGTATTCAATTCTGTAAGAATTTTGTATTAATTTCATAGTTAAAAGTAACACTTAAACTTTTTGCATTTCAAAATCATTTCCTATAAAGTTTAGACTAATAAAAATTATGTAAATTATTGTGTAGAAGTAGAATATTTGTTAAATTTAATCTGTATTTAAAAAACTAAACTCTAAACAGTTATAAGTTATAACTAGGAATGAAAAAAAGTGGGTATCCATTAAATGAATGACCCCTCAAATATGATAATTTATTAGTAATTTTTACCAATAATAACTTTTGTCACAAAATTTATGAATGCATTGAAAATTGATTTTTATTTTATATACTCATACCTGATTCATTTAACTTGATAGGCTTTCTGTAAGGCATAACAATCTCTGAATAATAAACTTAAATATTTTATCTAAAACTACAGTATGTGTCATATTATTTGCTAAGCTTGTGTTCATTTTGAATCAATAA